TCACGGCTTCCCAAACTCTCATCTCACAAAGCAGGAGGCGGAGGCCCTGTGAGAAGAGGGCCTGGCCTGGGGACTGCGCAGTGCTGGCCAGGTGAAGGGGGCCGTCTCGGAGGCTGTGGGCCCGGTGCAGTGCGGGTGGCGGTCTCAGGAATAGGATGAGGCGCCCAGGCTGAGAGGGTAGGAGTTGCTGAACAGGACAGACGGGACCAGCTCTCCACACACTTCCCTGTGGCCATCGGTGTCCACATTCCCTGGCCTCTGTGTCCATGGGCTCCCTGTGGCCTGAACCCACCCACAGCTCTTCTGAGGTGCCCATGGGCTATTGGAGTTAGTCTGCCTCCAAAAGAGAGAGAGACAGGGAGTGAGCGAGAGACAGAGTCAGAGACAGACAGAGAGAGAGTGAGCGAGACAGAGGCATTTGGGTCCTTGTCCTGGGGTGGCTCACAGGTGATGTGTGAGGGGTGTGACTGAAGAAGCCCTTGCCTGGTGTCCAGACAGCTCAGAGACGGAGTCACACCCCAGGGCCCCCTGGAGCAGGTGAGGCTGGGACTGCCCGACACTGTGCTCCTCCTAACCCCTCTCCCAGAGGCATCCCACTGACAAACCCCCTACACACAAACCCTTGCCTTATGCCCCATTCTTCCTTATGTCAGAGTCACCGGGCGGCAGAGTCCAGGGCCACTCACATCCCACACGCACTGCAGAAGGCAGCGGCTTCCTGGACAGGTTTCCCCTGTGAGCGGCAGTCTCACGTCTGGGTGCTGCTGGCTCCTGGTGTCCTACATCTGGGACAGCAGCCTACGGAACTGATCGCCAGCTTCTCCACCGCTGACCAGCCGGGACACCTTGTATCGCCTGCTCTCCTCCAGCTCTCGGTTTGTCTACCTGCAAAGCAGTCACAGTGGTGCTGGGCTCTGGGCGGTGCTTGCTGTAACAGCCAGGCGAGCAGGGTAACTCCCTCCCCTCTCGCCATCCCCGGCACTTTCCAGGGCTCGGCCTCAGGTATCCCCTTGGCAAGCAGGGACCTGACCACTCAGGACTGTCTAGAGGATCCAGGGGATGGTTAGGCTCCCGGCCTGGAACGGAGAAGGTGTCCACACATCATGACTCACACTGAAAGTCACAGCCAGGACGGGAGGATCAGCTGGAGCACAGCAAAGTTGGAGCCAGGGAGGAAAGCAGGATTTGCAAATGGTTCAGCAAGACCACATTTATTAATGCAGTTCAGTTGTATAATTCTTTGTATAATTAGCAAGAGATCATAACGCTGAGTGAAAGAAATCAGACACAGAATGGCAGAGGGTGCGTGCTTTCTCTGCTATGAGAAACCCAGGACAAATAATTTAAACAGCAAAATATAAAGGAGAGGTGGTGTGGATTGACCACTAGGGTGGTCAACTTACAACCCCCAGCTGAACTGAGTAAGCGTGGCGCCGGGTGTGGGAGGCCCACCTGAGGACTGTTGCCAGCAGCATAAGAGGCAGAACTGGAGAAGAAGAGGTGAGGCTGTTGGGAGCTGAGAGAGGCTGTTGGGAGCTGGTAGAAACTGTAAGGAGCTGTTGGTTGTTTCAGAGGAGCTCATCATGCTGACTTTCCTGATAAACTTGGCTGTTCTCACCCCCGAGACGCTCGGGGCCTTGTCGCTGAGGATGGCTTCACTTCACTTTCGGGGAGCTCTGGTCCTCACTTGGAGCATCGCTTCCTGGCTCCAGAGGGGAAGATGGTGCACTGCCGGTCTCCTGAGAAACTTGCTGCGTTGGCTTCCCTGATGGGAACTTGGCTGTCCTGACCATCGGAGGAGCTCAGGACTTCACTGTTGCTGAGGACGACTGTGGTACTTTTCAGGGGAGCTCTGGTTCTTACTTTGCGCATAACTTCCTGGCTGCAGTGCAGATCCTTCACCCTGCTAGCACAGATCCTTCATCCCACTGGCACAGACTTCCTAGATTCCACCAC